GCCAAAATTGCCTATCCCTTTCAAGTTTTATGCTATTCAACCTCTTTGTTTTGTAACCTAATTTATTTTTTTAAATAAAGAAGTTTAATTATTTTAAATATGAATTATCAGTGTGTTATATTCATGATAAAAATTGATTACAGAATTTCTTTCTTTAACAAATCAATAAAAAAAAAAATAGTCTTCCACTTCATGTCAAGTCTGTACCTTGAGATTATTTTTCGTGCAGTAAGTTTGTATTCAGTGACAAAGATAAACTAGTTAAGCTAAGTTTGGCTATTTTTGAATATGTACTGCCCCCTTTAGGCAGATTTGCAAACTGGAGGTAAAATAATCTCAGGGTAACTGACTAAACATGAAGTGGAAGACAAATTATTTTTATTGATTTGCTACATTTATACCTAAAAACTTTCAACCGATTTTTTTGTATTTTAAATTGTAGAAATATATTTATAGTCATCTTTATGCAGTGAATTGCTCAATCTTTAAATATAAATTTATCTTTTTTTTTTTTTTTTTTTTTTTCTTTTGAGGCAGCATATGTAAGAAAATTTGGAAATGGTTGAGAAGCAGTTGCCATTAGACATGCCATAGCTGTCACAGATGACCTGTGAGGGGGACATGTATTATATATTTTCAGATAGTCTCTCTCAGTAATTCCTTATGATCCAAAATCCCTTCCATCTCCACTCATAGAAGATATACCATGCATGCTCTGTGAAAATCAGCACTCTAAGCCTATTCATATTTCCTGGATAAAGGTCCAAGCTGGACACCAGGGAAATGAAGAAGCTGATTAGCATGCAAAAGAAACAATATAGATACCTAAATTGTGCCCTTCCTGCTTCCAAAATCCTATCTCAAGAGAAGAATCGTGGCCACTGCACTATAACACCGGCAAGATGAATGGGACACAATTCCACAGGGTCGAAGAGCTCATGTCCTTTACGGCAAGGTTTCCACAGACCATTTGATTGTAGCATCGTTTATAACCTGCTTTGTCACAGGCCATGGTCCATTTCCAGAATATTTCTAGAAAAAGGGATTTGTTTCCTCTAAGCTCTGTGAGTGCAGCAAGATTGAATTCCCATATCATTACATAATAATGTGCTCACTCACAGAGGCATGGCACATAAATTTGCTGGACACTAATGATTCATTTAAGTCATTCTTTATCAAGGCAGCAGGCCATCCTTAAAAAAAATTGAAAAACTAGAGGCACTATGGAGGAACCTGTGTCATGCTGATTAGTGTGCTCTTCTGTAATGGAAAAGTCATAGAGTTAATAACATATGCACTGTATATAGTACTACTGCACACAACTATTGTAGCACTGTCTGTAATGAAACAAAATGACTATAGTACTGAAGACATAGTAATGACAGCAGCACTGACTGTAATGAGTAAGCAGTAGTAAGAAATGTAAGTAGTACGCATCGAGTCCAGTATGGTATAATATACAAAGAACTACTGCCCTTAATATAATGTGTGATGGCCAATGTAAAATATATTTAACCCTGTGCCTGATTTGCCTGTGCGCCGTACGGGCACGGTTTTCGTACCTGTAATGATTTGCCCATATGCCATGCAGCAATCTGATTTCTTTGTCGCTTTCATTATTTCGACCATATTTTTTTATTTTTAATGTCAAATTAGTCATATAGATGGCGGTAGTTGTCTACACAATGTTAGTTTGCGAAGTGTATTCTATTTGGTCCAAAAGCACAGGCCTTTTTCATAAGTTTTGCATTACATAACGAGTTTTTATCTTTCAGAGTTTAGCTTTTAGTATGTATTTTGCACATTATTTGATAAATTCATTTATATGCAAGTAGTGAAAACTATTTTTGTCATAAAATAATGGATCATTCAGAACGTATGGAGCTAATTTCTTGTGATTCGGAATTAGAATTCTGAAATATCTGTAGATGAGTCTTGAAGTAGTGGAAGTTTTCTAGATGGCTGCGACACTAGTGACTCTGCATACAGATGGTTTCAGCAAGTAAGGCAGTTTTTTTAAAATTAATTTTAATAATCCATCTGATCCACTTCCTAGATTTGCTTTCATTGGAAATCCAAAAATTAACCTGAATATTGTTGTAGCTAACAGTAAACTTCAGTTTTATGAAGCTTTCATGGATGATTATTTGCTAGACCTGATTGTTTTGGAAGCGTAAGATGTGCTGAGCAGTGCATGCAAACCGATGTATTTAGTAGACATTCTAGAAGAAAACAAATGAGATCCAACATTAAAAGATGAAATACAGGTATTTTTTGCTTTGATTATTCTTCAAGGTACAGTACAGAGTCCGTAATCCAGATTCATCGGCGATTATGGATTATAGATCATCAATTTAAATCTGGTAAGATGGCATGCAGAAATTATACAATTAAAAATATGAAACCATAATTTATGAAATAAAGAGCAGTTATGATCTAAAGGGTATCAAAATTTATAAAAAAAAAAGCTTAATATTTATTTGTTTACTTTATTAAACATTTCTTTCAATGTAAAGTGTTGAACTTACTTCGTTTTTTGTGCTAATATTTTCTCTTTAATTCTATAAATAGACATAATTTCTTGTTCAATTACAAAGTTCTGCTGTTCAAGTCCTGTAATTGCTGTGATGAAAATACCGACTTACTTGTCAATCGAAATTTTTTTTGTTTTTAATAATTTCTCTGTCACTTTCTTCACTATCGGAAGTGCGCATGGGTAAATGCTTTACGCGCATGCGTAGCGGACGCGCGCATTAAAAGCGCATGTGTAATGCTTTATGCGCATGTTTATGGCTTTGAGGTCCGGATTATAGATCATTCCAGATAATGAATGTCTAGATTACAGACTTTGTACTGTATTATAAAAAAAGCCAGTAGTTGAGCAGTATTGGAGTAAGAGGCATTCTATATCTACATCATTTTTCTCAAAGTAATGTCATACTGCCGTTTCCAGTTAATTGAAAGTTATTTACATATTTCAGATAATGAAAAATTTGATGTAAATTCTCATGAGTGCCCAAAATTAGTTAAAATTTGGCCCATGCTAAAAACTCAATTCCAAGAAGTTATTACCTCTGAACAAGATGTCACCATAGATGAGAGTCTTATGTTATACAAAGGAAGACTAAGTTGGAAACAATATATCCCACTTAATTGATCACAGTTTGAAATAAAAATATGCATGCTTTGTGAATTAAAGACTAGATATGTATGGTGTAGTACTACTTAATTTACACAGGAAAAGGAACTGCATTTAATGACAGAAACATTTGAGCGAATCATTGCAGGTTGTAATGACACTAATGCAACCAGGATACTGTCCGACAATAGATAACTTTTATTCATCACCTGATTAGTTGCTGCACAGATATGTATGGAACATTAAAACTTCAAAGAAAGGAAGTTCCTAAAGCATTGTTTAAAGAAAAACTTCTAAAAGGGCAAATGGTAACTTACCAGAGAGGAAAAGTGTGCATTATGAAAATGGATGGACGAAAAAGCCGTGTCGCTTATATCTACAGTATATAATCCAGAATGGTTCAAGTATCCACATCCAAGAATGATATAAAGCGAAAACCGAGGCTACTTGTGGAGTACAACAATACAATGGGTGGAGTAGATCGAATGGACCAGAACCTAAATACTTATCCTGTGATTAAAAAAAGAGGGGATGAAATACTACAAAAAAATATTTTTTCTTCTTCTAGACATCAATTTATGGAAGGCTTATGTGCTGCACAAGACACATGGTGGTAAAGATGAAAATTTACAGTTTCGATTAGATATTATCGACCAACTAATTGAAAGATATGCAGCAGTAGAAGAAAGAAAAGGTCGACCTGGAGATTTACCAGCTCCACTAAGACTTATAAAGAGATATTTTTTAGAGGTGATGTGACCTGCAGACAAAAAAGTAAGACCCTCGAAACAGTACTATGTGTATTCACTGAAAGAAAATTACAACAGCAAAAGAATTAAACTAGGTATTTTTGTCCAGATTGTGATGTTGGCCTCTCTCCCTGTTTCAAGATGTATCACACTAAATCTGATCTTTGAAAAACAGGGTTACCTTTTTTTTATTTTCAGCTATACAAGATCAGTATGTATTCATAAGATCAAGCTATTCCTCTCATATTAAAAGTGGAATCAGGAAAAAGTGGTTTCAGTTTCATAACTTTAAAATTGGAAGTATTTGAAAAAAAAGCTTATTCATGTTTAACCTTTTGAATGGTCATCAGCAAGCTTAGTTTCCATTCCAGTTATGCGTCTTAGTGAGTGCAAATGAATTTACTTGCATCACAAATTGATGACTGACAGGTATCGCCATATTTAGGAAGAAATGTAATTTTTCTGCTGATGGAAATAAACTCATACCATCCTTTAAAGTGCATCGAATCTCATTTTATAAAATGAACTGTATTTTCCATTTATTAAAGCTGATACTCATTTATTACATTTATTAATTGCATTATGAATAATATTGTGATAGATTAACCATAACCTTAACATGAATGATCAGATATTGATTGCAATCGAAAATTTTTTAACGGAGTCTGCTTGTATAAATTTTTTAAAATGTTGTACTTTAAGTAGCATGAATTCTTGTGCTGTATGCTACTGTTTATATACCATTAACCCTCTCCAAAACTACTACGAGAACAAATTTTTTTTTTATTTTAATGTAAAAACTCTCCTGGTATTTCATACTTGGATTTGTTTTCTTTTGATATATTGCCTTAATTTCTTTGACATATTTTAATATGCACGTATATATACGTTTTTACAGATATCACAAAAAAATATTTAGATATCGTAAAAAAAATATTTAAAAATCTCTAAGCGGTGGTGCTTAGAGGGTTAAAACATACACATGTATGAAGCACATAATGTGATGTAAGAGTTTGATAATTGATTTTCATTTACAATAAGTAATATTTTTAAATTACAAAAGCCATTATTATCTTTTTTTTTTTTTTTTTTTTTTTTTTTTTTTTTTATAGCACATGGGTTCCAAGGAGAGCAATGCTGCATTTATTGAAGAAAATACTCTGAACAAAGTATCAGAAATGAAAAGTAATGTTGCAGCTAATAAAGATAAAGTCATCCAGTATTTGATTAGTCAAGTGTTTGATGTGCAACCTGAAGTGCATAAAAATTTCAGATATGAAATTAAAAATTAAATCATTTTTCTCTTATATTTATAAATTGTTGAAAATTGATGCATACATGTTAAAAAATTTTGTGCTTGTGTACTCTGAATTATGTTTATAAGAATAGTAACTGGAGAAGTTCCTTCTAAAGGTAATGACTAGTAAATGTTTAAAATTATTATTGAGATATAAAAATATGTATTTATAGTTATTTAACGATTGCATGTATTTCAGTGCAGTGAGAGTCATTACTAAGGATACAGAAGAGGAATTCGAAAAGTTAATTTAAAATTTATTACTCAAACTATCATGGTACTATGATTGGTTAAAAGAAAATGCCTAATTGTATCTAGAAAAGGAAGAAATGTCCAAAAGGCTTGAGGAATCCCCCCATATATGTTATTATTTACTTGACATAATTTACAATTACATTATGTGATTAAATATATTTTTTAAATAAATTTTTAGCCTGCAATAGCATCTTCATTAAATTATAGATGACTTTTCAGTATAAAAAAAGTTTCCTGTCAGATGCTGCTTAGTGCATTGTGTCCGATATCTTTTAATAGGAAAATGCAGAAAGAATAACTGGATGAAATAGATACCTTTAAATTTCATGATATGGTTAGATTATGTTGATATAAAGTTTTAAAAAATAGCAAAATGATGTTTTCTCTTTCTGCATATATATTTCATACAGACATAAATTTGAAATACATGTTTTATGAATTAGCTTTAAAACTAGAATAGTCAGTGTTTTCAAGGAGCATCATTCATGTGACATTTGTGAGCAAAATGAATTTCAGAAATATATTAAATATTATGTGATAATGGAAAATATTAGAAAAGTAAAACTGTAAATGAAATGCTTTATTTTAATACTAGTAATTTTGCTCCATTATTTTAATAAAATTGTCTTGCAATGTATGTCTTCTGTAGAATTTCTGACCGAGTAGTCTTTTCTTTCCTTAGTATTATTCATAAGATTCTATTTTGGTATGGCAACGTAATGCATTTAATAGTAAAATACATTTATATTGTTTTAGAAATGGCAGTTACTGTTCTAAACTGTTAATCTGGTAAAACTCATGCAAAATTTTAAATGTTCAAGCTTGTAATTAAAAAAATTCTAAAATTCGAATGCTAAGCACAGTGTCAATTTATAAAAACTTTTGATATTTATGTATGTTTAATATTTGCATTATATCAAATAATTTCATTAGTGCTATAATGTAGAAGATGTGCTAAACTTATTATGTGTTTTCTCTATGTTAATGTTTAAATAGTGCAAAATGTCGACTTTTTGAAAATAAATTTATTGGTATCTGCTTTTAAATTATCAATAAGAAAGACATTTTTATTTCAACTTAAATATCTAGCACGGTTGCGAGGTTTGGATGTTTTTATGCAAAAGAACTCTCGTATGGTTTGGATGAATTTGGTATGTGGAGGTTCTTTTATTTTAAATGCATTAAATGCATTTTGTCAATATTTTGTAATGTAGCAAATAGGGTTTAAAATCCTAAATACTTATCAGAAATATTGTTTCAGGAAATTTTTTATATGTTATAAAGTAACTATTTTTATATATATTTTCCATTAACATTCCAAGGTAACTTTTTCCTTTTAAATATTACCATGGTTCAAATTTTAATTGTTTTAAATAATATTTCAAAATGTGTTGCCAGTTTTGCATTCTATAATATTCTGCAGCAATCTGTAAGCATTAGAAAATTATGCTTTTTTGGGGGTGCAAGGGTGGGGCGGGAGATAGTACTTGAATGAATATTATTTTAAGTATTTGGGTTTTTCTTTTTCAGGATTTTTAATATCATAGAAGAAACACTTTTTTTTTTTTTTTCTTCTTTTTTGTATTATGCATTTTTACTATTATATTTGTGCCATAAAATTATGAAACATCAAAGATGATTTTGACATGATTATTTTTACTTTATTTGTAGGAAATTACCCAAATGCATTAAAATAATAGACATGATTTAATTTTCTTGTGCCTTTATTTGAACAGAGATTAATGGATTCTAAGTCATACTTTATATATTATTTGTACATTTTGTTGAATTATATATTTATGAAATGTAAACTGTTATTTAATCAGTTCATCATGGTAGCAACATATTTTGTGTATTTATAATATATTAAAGATGTTTTATGTGTGATTTATTTTTATTCATTTAAATTGTCACACAGAATATATTGTTATAAGAAACAGAAAATGAAATAAATTATTTTAAAATTGATGAAGTTAAACTCTGATAAAATACAAATTTAAATAAGTGAATGAGCATAAGTTATGAATAAATAAATAAAAGTGAGGGAAGAAATGGGAGTATGTAAGTTTTCCCCTGTATTAGCATTTTCAAAATATTAAAAAAAAAATTAGGAGCAATAAATTTAAATTGTATTTATATTTATTATATATAATGATGTAAAGCAGAAATTTAGGCTGAGGTAGGTACATAAAGTTTTTTTTTTTTTTTTTTTTTTTTTTCCTTTTCTTTTTTTATATTGAGGACTAGTTAATAAAAGAATGGTGCAATTAAGAACAAATAATAATGGAATAGAACAGCATTGTATTAATTAAGCACTTAAAGTCAGACATAAATGCTATGTACACAAAAATAGCACTTGTTCCTTCATACATTCAATGATGTTTACTATGATAAAGGTAGCTAAAAATGTGAGAAATATAATGAAGCTAGTAGTTAATGTTCTTGTGAGGTTACTTAATGCCATGTGGTAGATGGTAAAAAATGGTCAGAACATCAAAATTTCACCATTGATTGTACAAGTAATAGTCCTGGTGCACTAACTGTGGAGGTCTACCCATTTTTGATGGAGAGCACCCCTCATTCTTTAGCCCCTTCAGGACGAGTGTATCATATATGCATCAGTAGATAATCCTCTTACCAGACGACATGCCGCTTAGCGCAGCTCACCTTGGAGACTGCGTGTTGTACCAATGCAACAACCCGCTGCTAGAAAGATTTGGGACTGATGCATATATGACACACTTGTCTGCAGAGGGCTTTTACTTCAGCAACATGCCTTCGCGAAGGGGTTAAACCAAACTATGTTAGAGGATTTTCAGCTGTCCAGTATTTAAAGTGTCCTTATGCTGCACAAACACTGTAACTCACAAACACCCATGTTTTCTCCAGGATTTGAACCTTCGGTATAGCAGTTAGCATCGTTAACCACTATAACAATCAGGGTGGTAATGGCATGTTGCCAAAAGCTTTTATAAGCATTCTGGAAAGTGTAGTTCTTAGAGTTTGGAGTCGGTTCTTAATCATCTTTGATATTTAGTGGTTAGCAGAATTAAGATTTAGAGATTATCTGTGAGTGATTTTGTTAATTGATATTTCTCATGCACTAAGGAGAAATTCCTTAATATGTGTTTTCCCTCAGCTACTTAGTATGGTGTACGTCATGAATTTTTGTAATAAATTGTAATTTTCTTTCTGCTAATTTGTAGTAACCATTTAAAGAGAGATCAATGAACCTATAGCCTGCAATATCCATTTTCAGTTATTTATTATGTTGTGAGTTTTTAAAATATATCGTATTGTCAGTTTCTTCCTACTTATCTGGAATGAGTTATTTAAAATGATATCGCTGAATCTGTAGCCCTGAATATGTTACTGTACTCTCTGATTATGCAAAGTTTCATATTTTAATGCATTTATTAAATTTGTGTATTGAAAGCTATAGGTTTTATATATGATATTCTAAAGTGCTAAATAATAATAAATTTGAAAAAACTCCACAGCTTTCAGCAAAAGTATAGTTTACAGTGCGTTATTGAAATTCTAACACATTTAAAACATGGATCTGATTGAAATGAATTTTCATATGCTGTATCTTCAAGCGCAAAGATAATTTTGGTATTAAAAATGAGTGTCAGGTTGCCTGGTTATTTTACAGTCTTTTTCTATTTTCCTATTCTTAAACACTATTTTCTATTTCCATTAATAGATTGCTGAATACTAGTTCAGTCTCAGGGGAAGAGGTTAGCTGCATAGTTTTCTTCATGCATAATGTTAATACAAGCCAGTCCCCCCCCCACACACACACGCAGAGGCATCTCTTCCCTTAAGAGATAGCCTTCATGTGCTAATAATTTAATTTAACCTGTTTCTATCAACATTAAAAAGGGGTAACTACAGATCTCAGTTTAAAGCTGATGGCAGCTGGAAAAAAGAATGATTAACATTAGTATTCCTTACAAATAAATCTAGTTCATATCTGTTTTATAATCTGATTCATGTCACATCAATATCTGGAAAGAACATACATTCTTGGCCCAAAAGTGACTGAATGAATAAGATCATTGAACACTGGTAGTTTGATATGGATACAGATGCTAATTGCAGAGATGTTTTTACCTTGTGTAATACGAGTTAACATCCTTTAGAATGTCCTCCATGAAGATATTATTTACTTTAGCTTCCTTTAGAAAGTTCTCCATATTTACTTTAGCATTTTCTAAACCAATCTAGAATTCTCAAGAAAGGTGCAGAATATACTCACCTTTGTCTGGGTATAAATGCTTGGAGATACTGGAATGAAGTACTTGGGTAATATGCAAAGAAAATTTGTAAACTGATAGTAATTTTTGTTTTTTTTTCCATTGGGGTACAATGTCTAAACTCATGCAGCTGTTAATGTTTTAAGCCTATCAATTGCCAAGTACCCAAAACCCCGAAAAAATTAGTAATTCATGCCAGTAGTTACATTCCTTCCCTTAATCAACTACTCCACTAACAGAATGGAGAGATACGACAAATACGCACACTTGGATTTTAAAAACTGCCAGATTAAATTTAAAATTTCTTAGAAACAGTAAAACATCAAACCAAGTATAAATTTTTCTTAGTTTTAAAAGTACAGGGAATCTCATATCTATGCTGCAAGAGGTCATATTCTAAGATATTTTTATAATTATAGATATACTCATCTTTTCTCTCAATTATGCAGTTTAAGAAAATTCATTTTGTCAAATATATATAGTCAAAGTAAAATACAGTAAATCATTTTAAAACAGATAATAACGCTCACCTTGTACTTAGTGCACTACTTTTTTTTTTTTTTTTTTTTTGTGTGTGTGTGTGTGTAATGAAATTGACCCTCTGAGCGTGTTATGACTGGCTTTATCCGGTCATCAGAAGTTGCTACTTGGCATATATTAGCTTATAATTTAAGATAGTTTCCTTTCTTACTTACGTTAATAATGTAACTGTCATCTTAATTAATGTAAATTTATGAAAATACTGACTAAGTAATTATACAAACTCAATTAACAAATGCTGTTTAAATACAGGTCTTCATGACGGATCTAAAATCCTGTGTCACCCAGAGAGTTAAAGCAATTAAAACACATAGCATGTAATAAAATTAAAAGGTATGCTAATCAAATTTAAATATGATAAATCATAACAGAAATTCCATGCCCCAAAAGTACAGGAACAAAAGTATTTTTTGAATAAAAAATTCTGTAATTTTAAATTCCTGGTCTGCACCATAATTTCAGATGATAAATGTGGGTGAAAACTTTGTAGATTTTAAAGGGCCATGCAGTGTAAAATTTTGAAAAACAAGTATTTAAGGGTTCATCTGAGAAATGGTGATAATTGAAAGTAGACATAATATTTCACATCAGAATCTTATCAAGAGGCTAGTGATGATGTTGCTATTAAAAATTAATTGATTGAAAACTGTATTTAGTTTAGATAGATATCTTTATAGACAGCTTCTTTACAAATTAAATCAATGCCAAACTGGCCGTTCTTTACCTTTTCCTGTTTCAGAATGGATTTTTCATAGAGTTTTCCTGTCAAAAGGATTACATGTTTACTACAAAATGCATCTTGTACTCAATTGCAAAAATATCTTAGAGAAGTGGTATGTCTCATAAGCTAAGTAAGACATGGTTTCAAACATGTGGATAAATACATTATACAGATACAAAAAGAATTATGACCTAGATAACTCAGATCTTCGGGTCTATCATTAGCATGATATGAATAAAGCAATCTTTTTCAAGCCATTAACCTTTTACATGCGAAACTAAAATAAACATTTTATTGTGAAAAATCGATTTAAGACTCGAATATAAAAATTATGAAAAAAGAAAAAAATTTTTTTAATGATTTATAACGTTCCATAAATGGAACATTGGCGGGAAACAGTTAATTTTTTTACATGATTTCTGTAAAATGATTATCGACATTCTAATTCGAAGCATCAGTTTTGTCTGCCCTTTTTCAGCATTAATTAGCAAGTGAATTTGTCAATGTTATTTGGAAGTAACATAGATTAAGCAGAAAAATAGGAAGCCTGCACCTTTATAACCGCAAAGCTACTCCATCAAAATTTCTTAGGAGAAGATATGGAGCTTCCAAAGAAAAAAGCTTTTTTAATAAATTAAAACAAAAATTACATAGTTGATAAGCAAGAAATTGTAAAAGAATTTTACAATAATTGTTAGCAGTTTATACTGAAACAAGGAAAAGAATTATAGAAATAAGTAACAAATAATCTCCATACAAAAATTCACTCTGCAGGAATCGTATGAATAAAAAGTTAAACAATACAAGTAAAAATAGAAACTTACCAACATTTTTGGAACAAGAAATAAAGACAAAAAATAATAATTGTTTTTTATGTTCTGAGTCTTTTTTTCTACTGACCATGATAGTTAGGAAAGCATTTCTGATGCAGTCTTTTCTCGCACTCAAAACATTTGTTTTTAGTGTTCTTCTGGCATACAGTGCAACGTCCTCGTTGATGGCACAAGATAATGGGAATCTGATTTTCTCAAAGATTCAGAGTTATGTGCACGAGGTCCAGGAACTGAATGGACTTTTAGTTTCATGCGAAGCAGACATAAAGTTACTTCTCTCCCGAAATTGAGATGTGACAGTTCTACTTCTGTACCTTTGTGCAAATGTGAATGTAAAATCAACCCAGCAACAACAGCCATATTTAATGCATTGCTAAATAGATTCCAGTACCATTTTTTGTTTCTAAACTTAGGTCGATATGATCCAAGAAGTCTATCTAGCAAGTCGACTCCTCCCATTCCTTGTACATTTTTATAACATACGGCAGAGGAATATCAATTTTCTTTTTGAGGGGCTCTGCAGAATCTCTTAGC